CCTGTAACAGAAAAGTTTTTTTTTAAAACTCTTTCCCTAAATACTTACTTTTGTATAAAATGGAGCGAGGATTTCACACTGCAATTTTAGTAGTCAGTACAACAGAGCTGGAGATAAATTTTTGCATTGCCCAGGTGTCACACTGTAACATGCTACAGTGCTTCTAAGCCTGAATACTAACCTGAACCGTATGCAAGTTCCAGTGGGACATTATGTTCCAGTATCACATTTACAAAGTTCCTCACGTTTATATGGTGTACCACAGTAACGATTCCAATCATGGAGTTACAGCTCTTCCATGCTGAAAACAGCAGCAACATTAAACCACATTTTTCACTGTAAAACAGAAGCATCTACTTTAACAAAATTGCAAGCATAGCTGAAGGTTATAGAAAGATTATCCCCTACTGAGATCTGGGAAGGTGCTTACACACGCAGCTCTATTATTAGTAAGCAGCCAAATGCTGCGGACGCCCAAGTTGTAAACCGAGGACTGTAAAATCTGTACATTTTGGAGAAGAGGTAAGATAGGCGTTTTCCTTGAAACAACACTCAAAGAAGCGATGACAGCACAAACTGCCACTGCACCTGTGTCATGCACTCCTCACAGCAAGACTGTCTTGTGTCTTGAAGCCACAGAGACAGGTGGGTTTTAGGCACTTGTACGTCATGGTCAATACACACAGTGGTCACAGTGCCTGCCAGCTGACAGGGCTGCACATACAGAGGCAGATCAGACGCAACTAAAATTATTTAGGACCTAGATAGGACCTTGCCACAGGTTAAATCTGAGCCATGAACTGGACAAGAATTCAGAAATTTTGGCTGTTCTGCCCAAGGGGATAAGAAAATCCAACAAAGGAATGAATTCTTAAGGAAAAGAATAACTATTCTTTCAGCAACAGATTTTGGAGAGAAAAAACCCAAACAAACCCAGAAGTGCTGGCTGTAACATTTAAGGGATTGCACCAGTTCAGATTTAATGCCATTCTGCCCACACCTGCAATAATTGACTCAGGTTAAATCAGGTGTTAACCTCAAATGAAATTTATTACCATTTCTCCTACAACCACATCACTGATAAAAGCAGTACACAGTGAGTTAGCAGCTAAGAGCTACCGCTACACTAGATGGTAAACAAGCTTGTTCGTGTTCTACAGTGGGTGCAAGTGAGGTCAGAGATAATGCTATTGGAAAGCTAGGAATCTCAACTCAGTATGATGACTTTGAACATATGTAAGTTCTAGAATGAAGTCTTACAGTGTTCATTTCTTTAAAAACACAATCCAGCACCTTCTTCACTGGAAATGCATGCAAAGCATTAAAAAATGCAGATGAACTCTATCAACATCCAAAATGTATCAGGTAAGGAAATGATAATTGCAAATTAATTGCTATATAGCACTTATAAAAAGCCTGCTGTGGGATTGTTAAGAGGAAAGCATGTCACACCTAGCAACAAAACCAATAGACATGGCATCAGGGAAGTATTTCAGTGGAGAAATCAGGGATTAAGCAGATGGTAATGCATATCTTTTTGCAAATAGATGTATTAAAAGGAAAAAAAACACAGCTCACATTATTTGTACTGTATGCTACAATATCAGAACAATACTCAATTAATTGAACCAGTACCAACCAGATTCTTCATATTAGCTGCTCTATTATCCTTGGGGCAGCAATTCTTTACTGCAAAGAAATACACAGCAGTCTCCATGACTGCTCCCTTTTAACTGGTTCTAAAACAAGCAGCTTTATACAGCATCAATTTCTCCCACAACATGTTGCTGCAAGTCCAAAGAACAATAGCAGAAGAGACCAAGGAAGTTAAAACTAAGCAACCTTTTCCTTTTTTTTTTAGCTTCTTTCTCCTAAATAAACCCATTGGAAAGGTTAAATAACACACTGTTGCACCGCCTTTACCTGTTAAAGCATATTCTCAGTATTCTTTTGCAACGTTTTCCAAAAGGTATCAAGACACCTGCTGCTGCAAAGAGCCTGCATCTAACTGCACCACAGCATCTTCCACGATAACCCAGACTTAATAAGTAGACATGGCTCTCTTAAGAGGGTACACATACAAAACACTGTAGTTCTTACTAATCTCATTTGATGAGAGAAAGCATCTTGAGAATTTTTTTTTGGGGGGGGTGAAGAGGGTTCGATGGAGGAGTGCAAACAGTAGCACACACAAAAATATGTGTAACAAAGCATCTCTGAACTCCTATGAATGCACTTTCATGCTCTATTTTCACGACTAATATTCTGTATGGGAAAAGCTCCTCTAATCAAGTGTTAGCTATGCAAAACACAACATTCACAGCATTTCCAAAGGTTTTACGTAACCATGTGTTATACCCTTTATACCTCTCCTCTTTACTTGAGCCTTCAGTATACCAGTGACTTAGGCCTACCAAAACAGAAGTTGAAACAGTCTGAATCAGCCAACTGATCCCCAGTTGGGGAGAAGAGATGAGTCCAACCATGATACACAAGTGGAGCTATAGCAAATGGAAGTTTCAGTTCTTTGTAATGGCAAGATTTCCCTCAAAAACTTCTGAAACAGTAACAAGCATCTTGATTAGTTGTTTCTATGGTTATTCAACAGAGAGATTTTTAATTTACTCATTCATTTCCTATAGATTATAATGGCATGGTCTGAAGTTATACCAAGTATAGTTTTCAAATTCTGGTGTTCACACACTGTTATTAAGGTCACATTCAAAATGTCTTCACTTTTTTCAACTTAGAAGCAGTAACTGGAAGCAAACAAATACAGAATATGTAAGAAAACATTTTGTTTTTTAAGGTCACGTTATCAGAGTTCTCTCTTCTGGGGTAACCTCCACTTATTGTTTATGCATATACAGAAAATATTTAAGCCTTTTCAAGATCCCCCCAGATAAATTTAAATGCTACAACATAGCTAGCAAATGATTTCAAGCAGAAGCTACTTGAAGAGTTTGCTCATGTTCACAGCCAGGGAACATTCAGACTCCATCTGCTCCATTTCTTAATACAAACAAATAGCCTTTTAAAAAAAAGAACCTTGAACAATCCTGAGGGAAGTCTACCTTCTCCACACACAGAAGCTGCACCTCCTACTTAGATGCCTGAAGCGAGGTTCACTACACCTCAGCAAACTACCTAGAAAAAGTTTTGCAAAGAAAAAAAACAGAAGCAATGGGTTGCTCTTTTGTAGTAACTGAAACTACGAGACAGCCATTATCTACTGATTCACTTTGTGGATGGCCATTAAATTATACAAGTACTTCATTTAAATCAGCTTTAATCAGCTACATCAAAGGCATTTGTTTCACTCAAACAGAATTAATAGAACCTGTTATCCCAAAGGCAAATGGTGGTAACATGAGAGTGGCAAGCAATGAAGGGGGGGGAGAGAGGAGGGAGAGAAGAAAGAACAGATTTTATTTTTCCCTACAGCTATTATTCTTCAAAGAATCCTATTTCCAAGTTAACCAACAGTCATTCTGAAAACTTTTTGAAAGTCACCTTCACTTACACAAGTGGTCTCATACTATATTGGATAAAGGTTAATACAATAGAACATTGTAATTTATTTATTATGCTAATTCTAGGCAATGTTTCTCCTCACAATTATCTCTTCAGGGGTGCCAGGGCTGAAAGTAAATAGAAATTGAACATTACTCAAAAAGTTTTCCATAAAATATAAACTGACAAGTTATTCTGTACAGTATCACTCTTTATTCTTACTAGCTATTCTTATAAGTTGCCACAATATATTCATATACAGCACTGCATCTTATTGTGCATTTCCATATACTCATGAACTTCCTAACTGTTCTGCATGCTGACTTTCAGATATCAGTCTATGGAGACAAGCAGCCTTTTATTTGCTTTAAGCTGCTTGAGGAGGGGAAGTCTACCTTTACTGTATGAAAGATGGAATTTTTTACAAGGGCCTGTAGTGACATGACAGGAGGGAATGGCTTTAAACAGAAAGGGGGTAGATTTATATCAGATATTAGAAAGAAATTCTTCACTATGAGGGTGGTGAGATGGTGCAACAGGTCACCCAGGGAAGTTGCGGATGCCCCATCCCTGGCAGTGTTCAAGGCCAGGATGGACAGGGCTTTGAGCAGCCTGGTCTGGTGGAAGGTGTCCCTGTCCATGGCAGGGGGGTTGGAACTAATGATTTTTATGGTCCCTTCCAACCCAAACCAAAATTCTATGATTCTGTGTACACCCCATTCCCTCAGGCTGTCGTCCCAGATAATCTCAAGTTTTCTCTAGAGTGCTCCACACTACATGTACCACTGATCAGCTTCAAATATTACACTTAACCTAAAAAGCACATGTAAACCCTGACCTGAAAACTGCTTCTTTAACAAATATGTGAACTGGCATACATGCCAAACCTAATATAACTTCAAAGGCTCCTCAAAATCGCAGAAACCCCAGAGAAAGGTGTAGCAAAATAGTGAGAAGACTTGAACTCTTAAGTGTCCTAGAATAAGGCTACTACAAGATATTTTCATTTCCTCTACCTTTCCAAATTAGGGCAAATTAAAAAAAAAAAAAGTTAAAATTAACCCAGAACATGGGGGGGAATCATACTCAGTATTCTCTCAATAAGGCAGCAAAACATAACTTGGTATGTGATTTTTTCCCCCCTTTTAGATTCAGTAACTACAAAGCATTGTTCTCTTGTATTACAGCATCATGCATAATTACCATCCAAAGTATCTGCAAGAAGCCTCTAAACTGCCTGTTTTGCAGCACATGAAAGCTCAACTTCCTTCAGGTAAATATGGAAAAAGTCTTTAGTACTTGCCCAAACACCGTTTGAAATTTATTTCACAATGATAAAAATGAAAAGATTTTACAATTTTCCCTACTACAGAAATAATTTCCAAAGTTAAGATTTCTTAATCATAAATAAAAAGAGTAAACTAAGTAAGTTACATCTCAGAGGTTTGTATTAAATACAAATGGCTTATACTTCATAACACAAAGAGTAAGTGTTCAGTATTTCTTTATAAAATTTAAGATACACAGGCCTTGTACATATGGCTTCATTAACATACAGTTTGTTCTCGGTCATATCCATCAACACAAATAGCATCTCTACAAAAAAGATGCATCTTAATGATTTCAATGAAGTGCAGTACACTCCATTAGAGAGAACATGTTTTAATTAACAGTTCTAATACCAGTTACAGTGTACAATATTTTTACCAACCTACTGTGTTGTGATTATACAAAAGAGGAAGAGACCAAATCGTACAGCAGTCATCACAGTACAGACCCCAGCACAGGTTTACCTCATGAATGGCTGAAAGATTTGGCATATAATACATAACTCAACATATTTATTAAAAAGTGGGCAATGTATTCCAACAAGAAGTCAGGCTCCTGACCACACAAAACTGCAGTCAAATTTAAATACCATTTTGGAATCAAAAATGCATTACAGAGTTAGATACCCATTGAAACAAACTGATCTGCAAACAAAGTATTTCCGTATCATGCTTTAAAAGGTTTGTCAGGCATCACCCCTTCTGGGGGAAGTCCAACATTCTAACAAATAAATTTAATTATTTGACAGTTTCATATTGTAGGTTTTGAGGCTAGGACATGCACATTTAGAACATTAACAGTGTGAGTTCTCCATTTTAATAAAATATTATGAAAACCCCAACACCAGACCAATCTATCATTCAGCCTAAAAATACATGCAGTTACGGCAATAACCCCAGCATCAAATCCCTTCAGGTAGTGAAACTGTTCAGCTACAATATCATATACGCAGCTTTCTAACCAGCTGGGAAGGTACAAAAGACAGGAGCTCAAGATACACACTGCAATACAGGAGACAGGATACATCCTTGAAGTTTCCTCTAGCTTCTGGGCTTTTTAACAACCCCCAACTACAACATACACATAGACTTCTGCAAATAAAAACTTGAGGGGAATTCTTCCTAGAATACAGAAATTCAGATTAAGTCACAACATTTACTTCCATTTACTTTGGTAACACAGCTCTTTGTAGATTATGCAAGCAGCAAAACAACAGTATGAAAAAAAAATCTTGTTATGATAGCTGAATATTTGAATAAAGGTAGCACATACAGCATTTCTAGAAAAACATCTGAAATCATCATGGAGACAACAGCTGAAACTGATTTAGATTAAAATGCGTAAGTGCTAGAAACTGACCACAATTTGTGAACACAGTTCATGAAGTAAAGAAAGTGTTACAAAGCTAACGCAGAATAAAGCTAGGCCTGATCTCATTTTAACAATCTTAGAAATATTTTTTTAAACTCATTCTAACAAAAGAAAGAATATGTGAAATGAGCACACAATGAGAAGCTGAACAGCATTTGCAAACAATTTAAACACAGAACAAAAAATAAAGAAAAAAACCCAGAAGCTTGGGTAAGAATGCTGGAAACATGCCAATATTCAGGGAATTATTTATACAACAGGGGGGTGATGGGAAATCTGAAAACTAGGAGAAATTTCATATGGTTTGCTTACCAAGTCTGCGATTCAGCAGGACTGCAAAATTAGCTAATGCAATTTAGGAATGACTCCAAGCTAGAACATATTGTTTTCTCAGTAGAACTTTGGCACAACTACAATAAGAATATTACCGTTTCTTCTGCGAACTAAATTAACTGAAAGACAAATTGGCAGATGTATAGAACAGTGACTGAAGGGAAAAAACTAATTAAACTTAAAAGTTAACAGACATGCCCTCTCAACCACACAGATGGAATATCTAAGTGTATTTCAATACCATTTAGAAAAAACTCCTTTCCAGTTTTACATGTTAAGAGACATTTAATCCAGAAAGACTGGATTATACAAGAAAAATTACTTCCTTTAAATGAAGTGCAATACATATGAAAAAAATAAAACCCAGCACTGAAAATTAAGAACTCATGGCAGGTGAACAAGTCAGATTTCTGGCAGCAAAAAGAAGGGCTATAGATGCATAATTACCCACTTATGCATTTGTGTTGCAGATGCTGTGGACATAAATCCATATACACTGTAAGAGAACCACTTGATTAAGCTGGGAGAGGAGAAAGTACCTTAAATGCAGGTATGAAGCACATTGCTGACACAAGAGATGCATTCAAAAAGGAATATTCTTTGCTTGCAAACATATTGTAGTATAGAACATTGTTATGCAGCCTAATACATAGTAAAAACTGTAGTGTGTTTTTTTAAACATTCCTGTGTGGTGACAGCCTCTGAGCTCTACAGAAAAGCAGCTGTTTCCAGAAGTGAATTATGGCTCTTAACTGCAAAACGCTTTTGAATGTGCATCAATTTCCGTAACCCAGTGCATTCTAGGATTTTAAGCTTCTGAAAGAGACATTCTGTATCTTGCAGATTTATTTTTTCCCACAGTAGGCCTTCATATTCCTAGGCCAAGTCTCAATAAGCAATGAAAGAAAGTACTACATGGTACAATTTTAAAGTAAGTTACATCCTAATTGCACTTGTATTTCTATTAAAAAATAATTCAAATTATAGTCAATGCCTGTGTTACAGATGAGACTTCAACAATAGATAAAACTATACAGCTGCATTATTTTCACTTAGTTACTCCAAAGCAGACAGAAAAATCAAAACTATATTCTGGAATTACTCTGTGAAATATATCAACACGTCTACACAAATGAAAACTACACAGACTAAAGCACAAGACATACTCAGATATTCAGTACAAACCCAGGAATTTTGAACTGAAACTTGAACCGACTCTATGCACTTCTTCAGAATTCTGTTCCAAGTCAGCATTTGACATCAGTTTACAGTAACTGAAAAAAAACTAACAAAACAAACCAAACAAAAAAAAAAAAAACACCAAAAGACAATGAGCATCAAATCATGGTCTGACATGGAATGAGTCCCTTCAGAATTTAAACAGTATCTACCAGTATGAAACAGTTAAAAACTGAGGTGGTCAAAATACGCTGACTTCTAGCCATTATAGGAGAATCACCCTCCTTATCTGGAGTAGCAACTAACATATAAAGCTCTGTCCTTAGCACCATTTATTCTACCATAATATGCCCACTGCGTTACATGTTGTGCATGCAGGAAATGCTGTAATACCTTTCCAATGAGTACTGAAAACAAATAATGTCTCAAGTGTAACTAAACTGGTCACATTTATGTTGCTCACTTAAATTTAGTTTTTAATTACTTGTACAAATAGTTTAATTCTGCAATAAAATAAAAAAAAAAAAATCAGATGTTTTAAACCAGTATGTTAGGTTATATTCTGTCATTGTTATTTAGCTGCCTCATTCATATAGTCCCGCCAGTGGATGATTAATACCAAAAAGATAACCATTTCTTGTACATTATTTAATCCTCATCCTAAGTATAAATTTGCAACACAGTAGTAACACTGCAGGTATAGAAGTAATGCTTCCTATCAGACATATGAAAAGATTAACACTACCACAGTTGATGCTGGTGTATTTATACAGAAGGCTTCTCACGTATTATTTCAGTCTATGGGAGGTAGATGTTTGTCTATGAACTGCTTTACATCCATCATTTCCTGTTTAAAGATAAAAGTATGCATTAGCTGAAGCTCCATACTAATATATATTCAGATACACTAAATCATGTTCACCATTCCAGTTATAATGAGTAGCTGGGCTACAAGTATTGAGTAATTAGGTCTTGATACAGTTGTACCACTTCGCACACAGCAAGTCAAGGCTGATAACGCTTCAAGGCACTGTGCACTCAGAGGAGGCTAGAATACAAGAAAGAGAGCAAAGACTACTTTATTACCCTCTCTTTCTCTCTGAGGTAGAGCAAGCAAACTACATATTAATTATCAGGTGATCTGAATAGCACCAGACTGAACATGGATAGGACTTGAATGTGGCTAAAGCTGCACCTTTGTGTATACTTTAAACTTCTGCAAGTCAGCAGAAGTGTGAAAATCCAGCAGCTCCTCCACCTAAATGTTTATTTTCACCTTCATGATACTTTCTTCCCTAAAGAAAAGCAATACAGCAAACTAGACTGGGAAACCAATCCGTATTAAAAATAATTAATATTTTTATTAAGACTATGCTGTAAGAAAGAGCCCATGATTTTTATGTGACAACTCAATGATATTACTGCCTAAACAAAACACAACTATGTGCATCCCAAAGAGGTTGTCCAAAGGTACAGTTCCCACAAGATGCAGCAATCCAAATTAACAAAGTTACTGCTGCTGACAAATGGCAGATCTGGTCCTTGTCTCCTTTTCTGTTTCTTGCTCCTACCGTTTGCTTTGTGCGAGTTCTGATGCTTCAATTCATGTCAGCTGCCAAAACTGAAGTCAGCAGCTTTTGCCATTTTAGCAAGTTCAAATGGTTCAAAGAAATACCTGATCAGCCCCAGATCCGGTACAAGAAGGAAGAGAGTGCCACAGGGTCATGAGCAGAAGGAACTAGTCCACCCCTTTCTGGCAGCAGCAAGCCATTACATCAGCTCAACTGTGTGTTGAACCAGACCCATAAACATAGGATCTGAGGCTTCCTATTCTGTACCATCAACACTCCTCCCCTCCCTCCCTATTCCTTTGATGGCTCCAACCATAGAACTAGCAGGATTCTTCTCTCCAAAATACAAAGTTGGATTTATGCTGTGAGAATCTGCCTTCTAATTCAGTGTTTTATTTATTTATTTATACCTTTTAGCAAATAATAAAAAATTGAGAAAAAAAAAACAGTATTTTATAGACTAACTAGCCTAGTCCCTAAACTACAATCTTAGGAAGAAATTCCTGTTAGTCATACAAACTTTTGCCTTGGATGCTGTTTCAGCCAGGCATTCAGTTACTCATTAAAATAAGTCAGTAGCATCAAGCACTTATTAAAACACACCACACAAATAACAACAAACCCCACACAAAATTCCACAGACAACCCTCCAGAACCCCCACCCAATACATATTTGTTTGGGGGGAGGGGGAAATTAACCTCCCAGCTAAAAAATTGTATATTAAGAAAATCACCTCAATACATGAGCTATGCATCATGCCCGAGTAAGTCCTGAAGGTTATGTTGGCAGGATTTATCATACTCTTCAGCTTCTCAACAGTGAGAGAACCAAACATTAAAGGAACCAACGGGTCACAGTCTCCATGGCACTGAAGAACAGCAATATCCTTGTTGACACCACTGATAGGGCCCTGTTAGGGGTGGAATTCAGAGGGGAGAAGAGAAAAGAGATAGTAAGTATGACTAATAACTTTGAGATAAAATAACCCCATGGCACTATGCCCTGTGGGATGACAAATCAGTTAAATTCTGAAGAAAAAAAAAAAACAACAAAACCTCAAAGTATAGTCTGCAAGTTCCTTATGAAATAAGCTCTGTGCCTGACACGTTAAGTTCAAAAACCTGCAAATAAAACTGTGGCACTAATTTCAAAACAGAACATCATGATTTTTGGACAAGTAAAAAAAACTGTTTGTTTAAATACCTAGTCTCTAATGAGACAGTGTCTTGCAGATGGAACAAATGGCAAACAGAAAATTAATATTCAATGGAAATTTGCTGAATCCTTTTAAGTTTCCTAGGAATGTAATTTTAACCAGAGATAGCTATTGAGTATTTCCTCATTTTCTCTACTTAGAATCATAGAATCGTTAGGGTTGGAAAGGACCTTAAGATCATCTAGTTCCAAACCCCCTGCCGTGGGCAGGGACACCTTACGCTAAATCATATCACCCAAGGCCTCGTCCAAGCTGGTCTTGAACACTGCCAGGGATGGAGCATTCACAACCTCCCTGGGCAACCTATCCCAGTGCCTCACCACCCTAACAGGAAAGAATTTCCTTCTTATATCCAACCTAAACTTCCCCTGTTTAAGTTTTAACCTGTTACCCCTTGTCCTGTCACTACAGTCTCTAATGAAGAGTCCCCCTCCAGCATCCCTATAGGCTCCCTTCAAACTCTAGAACTTCAGAGCCTTTTGAGTTCTCAAACAAGTGTCAATATTTGGTAATAACGATGGCCACTAATTCCTGCACAAGATACAATCTTCAGATATACCGATTCCCCAAGTGCAAATTAGCTCAAGAAAAAAACAAGTACCTGAGGAAAAGAAGCCTGTAGAGGAAGCCAACAGCTGAGGGCTACAACACCTGCTAATTTCTGGTGTGTTGTAAGAGCTGTATACAATGATAAAGCACCTCCCTGAGATAAAGAGATAGAAGTATTAGGATGGTGATAGTAATGTTCCTTTTAATGCTTGTCTTTCTTTATTCCAATCTATTCTTCCTTAGAACCAACACTAAAACAAGTATTCCTGTACAACTTTTATTTTGCTCCCTGCACCTCCTCCCCCCCATTATCACTACTTTAATATTTTAATTTACTTGCATGGAGACTGGGGAGTTGGTTTATCAACCAAATAATCTATTAACCTACCTACCAAGGATGCCTTTCAAGTATGAAGGGAAGAATTTCCCAAATAAATCCAGACCATCAAATATCTACCAAATTAATGTTACATTAAAAATACTAAAAAGATTTTCAAGCAAAGCTACATACATTATGTGCATTAAGACTTAAACAGACTATTCATTTTAGTATCTTTTTTCCCATGCATGTTCATTTTCCAGGGAATAGTAATTATTTGCATAAAACTAGAAAACATTCATTTCTTAAGGCAAAACAAAACTGACACCTTAAAATTTTAGAAGTACGTAACACCAGCTTTTTTCAATTGTCTGGATTTCCCATATGAGGAAAGCTAGGTTTCTTCCCTAGAAAAAGACAGTTCAACTATACCTTACCTGAGAAAAGCCTCCTAGAATAATTCGATTAGAAGGAATTCCATTTTTTACTTCTTGATCTATCAGTGCTTTAACTGTAACGTAAAAGGCCAGTAGTTAAAAAACACTGTCCTATGTAAAGTCTAGAAGATGAAAGACTTCCCTGATGTCAACAGAAAGCTGGTGAAAGGAAAACATAGTCTGCTATACATTAAAAAGTATCAAAAGATCTAGAGCATGATCAGGAATTCTAGTGCCACTGTATACCATTTCCAAAGAGAAAAACAGGCAAGTCTTGCAAAAGCCCCAGGGCCAAGAGGATGGCATCCTCTTCTAACCATCCAGCATCACAAGTGGATGCTCATAAAGCTCTAACCTGCTATGCTACTCAGAAGCTCTTAAGAGTACACTGGTTCCCATGTACATTTCATATTTGAGAGTATGAAGTGTTTATGTGGGTGAATTGCTCTACTTACTCATTTGGTTTTAAAAACAAAAACACCAAACCAAACAAAAAACCCAAACAATGCACTTAGCTAAACTTTGATCACCAATAATACAATATATACATATTATTTTCCCTAATAACTTTGTGTTTCTAAAATCAGTTTCAGACTGATACTTCATTTTTAAGAATACTAAGAAGCGCTTTTAAGACATAGAAAGTACTTCCTAAGCATACCATTCTCTGCTGCCTGCTTGATCCCAGCTTCATCTTCCCGTGAATCTGGAGAAAGTCCAATGATATCAAACCTTACAAAAATATGAACAAAAGCATTACTCATTAGAACATCCATTCCACTTCCCTAAAACACAAATAATAAAACTGGGATAATTTCCAGATGAAAATGCTAGCTAATATATTATTTAGTACCAACCACCCATAGATTACAAGAAATAATGGACAACCTGTGAATATGACTAAAAGGCTACATCTAGTCAACAAAGCTTTTCTGAGTTTTGATATCTTCTGTAACTTGCTGCAGATAAAGCAGCTCAGTTTTGACATTTACTCCAAAAATATCAGCAGGAATTTCAGTTTATAAACTGCATGTACAAAATTAGAATACTGTTTGAAAAAATATAGGAAAAACAAACACAAGTTACTTGAGAAAAAACAAAAACAAAAGGATGGGTTTAAACCCACTGAAATTATCTTATTTTCTATTCAGAATGGATGTTCAAAAAAAAAAAACAAAAAAAAAAAACAGTTGCTAGATATCCAACTAACCTGCCAAATATTTCTCACTAGTAGCAATAATACTTCCACTCCATCTCTACTACTACTATGAAATCATACATAATACAGACTACAGACTATACGATATATATATCTATATATACTATAAGATACACAGATTAGTTCAAAAGAATAACCATTATCATAGATACATAAAGAGAATTAGAGTGTACTCATGAGAGCCCTTTAAAAGAATAGAACTAAAGCAAAAACCCTTTTATACGTACACGTAATTAAACCCAGCCAGTCAGGTTGTTCATGTTTTAATTAAGAACAGTGAGTTCAAACCCCTAGATATCTTTTGATTAGAATCATCCGCGGTTGAACAAATACTCACCATGATGGCATAGCCATGTTCATGTTCAAAGAAACTGGCATAACTGGCCTAGCAATAAGAATGAACACAAATGACATAAGATATATACTGAAATTTAATAATGCAGATGCAGTTATATCATGAAATTACATATCCCTAATTCCATCTTTCTTTCAAACCATAATTAACATTAGCTACTTTGTAGCGTCTCTTCAAGAAATCTCTCTTGAAACCTGCCAGCCCAAACACATTTAATATTCAGGGCTGAATTAGCCACTTTCTACGGAGAGCAAGCAAAGCATTCATGGGCTGCTTTGTATGTATGGGGGGGGGGGTACTGCATATAAATCATATACATATTTTATATATACAATTCAGTTATTTCTGAGTAACAGTTATTTACCACAGTTCTACACAAATACTCAGTGGATAAAGGCACCTTGCATAGCAGCATCAGCCGACCTAAGGAAGCAGCTAAATGTAGCATACCCATGGATACAAGCCTGGCCACACATGCTTATCTCAGCAACTGAATCTGCTTAAGCAGTGCCTGCCTTCACTGGAGGACTCACTCCCAATCTTACACTGCTTCACAGCATCTTTTCAGACACTCCACAACCACTTCAATGCACCATGCTACAGATTAAATCTGGCTATAGTTTTTATCTACAGAAACTAAGGAACATAAGATATTATGAAGAAATTCTTTACTGAGGGTGGTGAGGAACTGGAACAGGTTGCCCCAAGAAGTTGTGGCTGCCCCATCCCTGGCAGTGTTCAAGGCCAGGCTGGATGGGGCTTTAAGCAACCTGGTCTAGTGGAAGGTGTTGGAACTAAGTAGTCTTTAAGATCCCTTCCAACCCAAACCAGCAAATGATTTTATGATTCTGTAAGTTCTGCAGGGAAAAACTGAAAGAAAACAAAGAGCAAGAAACAAGAAAGAGCAGATACTGCTAAGCTCTTTTTGAATGGCTCAGCAAAGCATGGCCATATGATAAAATAAATAAATAAATCACATCCCAGTAATCAAACCAAAACATTGCCTATTTATCTCCCTATCATCCCTGCTCCACATCTCCCAAAACTGTTGGAGCAGAAGACAACCTAAATTTTGTATTAAAATAAATTAAGATTATACTTAATTATTTTTTTCTATCATTAAGTAAATACTAGATAGATCTTAATGTTTTATTTACTGACTCCTGACCCTGCTTAGAAGTATTTCACTTCTCAGATTGCAAGAAGACAGCCCAAGTGACCTTATTTACTGAAAATCTGAATACCCTGTGAACCTCTGAAATTCGCTGTAGGTAACAGAAGTTTCATCTACTATAAGCCCATTTAAGTTTAAGTACATGTACCTAGTACAAAGTATATCTAATCATCAGTAGAATACAGAAAATTACTCCTTGTTAAAACAGGCTTTTAACAAATTACTGTTGGGGGGGAGGGGAAGAAACAAACAACCCAATCCAGTGAAAACATAAAATCAAAATAATCTATAATTTTGCACATAAAACTTTCCAAATCTATTTTCAGTCTGAATTAGTAATAAAAGAAAAATATGACTAAAACTGCAGTTTTGCCCTAAATAAATCACACAGCAGTTCCCAAAAATAAAAAAATACTCATTAGCATCAACATTATTTTACAGTGGTGTTTTATATTAAAAAATTCAAATCCCTTCTGACTTCATCTGCGAGAGCATCTTAACATACAACTCTACAGAAAAAGGTAAAAGAAGAGAAGTTACAAACTTACGCATGTGGGCAAATGTATTTTACATGGGGGCTTTTGATACCTGCAAGCGCTTCTGACCATCCATGCCTGTTAACAAAAAATACATTAAATGCAATTTATGTTTGGCTTAGCTCTTATTTCTGTGTTGGTGCAACAGCACAGACCAAGTATAAAATATGCCGAATTAGATCAATATAAACACATTTCCAGGGAATTTTTACATCAACTGCAGTATGCTATGAATACAGTACTAAACTTAAAGGGTTTGTTCTGCCTCTGAGTGTTTGTTGCATACAGCCAGGGAGACTTTATCTGATTTGATTACTACAGTTGCAGCACAGCTGTAGAAATACCACTTTGGCTCTAGGCAAAGCCTGCTCTGTATTTGGCTGGATTTATTAACCTGGGCACCACAAGACATGAACACAGGTATCTGCTTCCAGGCAGCTCTAGCCCAGAGACTGCTTTGCTGCTCCTGTAGAGTTAAAGCAGCTTCTTTCACAGACAGATTTGTTTTTATGAGCCACATTTCTTGCTGTGAGATCATAGCGAGCTGCCATCAAAGCTAACTCAATGGGGAGCCAACCTAATCCATTAGATCCCTTAGCCCTGGGTCAGCTTGAATGCTCTTAGATTCAAGCAGTTCTGAACTACAGTCCAAACTGTAGGTAGCTTTTTAATGTCAAGCACATGCTGTATGAATGCCCGGAACAAGCAAGATCTGCATAGCAGACGAGTTATCAAGCTTCCTACAAATCAGGAAACTGGAAAGCACAATTTAAATAAACAGCTCTGAAAGACTCACTCCAGGACTCATCTAGACATGAAGCAAGCTGGACCCAAATCTGAACCTGGGAAGAACCACTGCCTGTGCCTGCACTTGGCTTTCCAGAACACACAATAGGGCCTGTATTTCCTGATTTTTCTCATTATTCAGTATTCCTAACTCACCCACTTAACTAGATACTGCAAAGTTGATTGTAAGCAGAGAACACCTTTAACAAATTCATCAGTGACACAACTGAACTAATGAGACCAACAACAGGTAAGCCATAAAAGCACGTCTGGTTTAGTTTTAAATTTAGTATCATCTTAAAAAGTTAATGTATGTTACCCAAAGTTAGAGACATTTCAAACACACAGCACAAACATTTGAAATACTGGCTGTATATGTCAGCCTACTTCCTACCAATACTTTTATATATACTATTAACAAATTGTGTGTGCTATTACTTGCATAATATTTGCAGTATCACAGAAGGCCAAATAAGAATCTTAATGAGAAATACGACTGAGAAGTAGTTAGGTAAGAATCTGGGGACTTTCTTAAGCCAGCTATAAATATTAATTTGACAAATTTGGAAAGCAACATTGTATACACAGTAGGCAGACTCCTTAGAACAAGCCCCTGTGTTGTACCTTTTGTTCAGATTTTGACAAGTATGTACCAATCTTTAAGTGCCATTTATATAGGAGCTGAGAGAAAAAGAACATAACCTCTGTTAGACACTTCTCAGAATAAGAAAAATACAGTTGGTAAACTGAAGTGAGCAATTTGAAATTTCACGCGAAGTAGAACTGTGGGAACTGATAAAACCATTCTCTTCAGACAATCCTTTTTTGGGTCACTACTGCAGCTCCTTTGGAAAAAAACAGCAGGATGTCAAAGGCAGCTTTAGCTAATCTGATCTGCATTAGCCAAAAGGAACAAATGGAGCTAAATCACTGTATTTCCAGGGAGGTGTTACGACGTGTTAATGCACACATTCTAGTATGCTCAGAGATGGAGACTGCGTTAGCTTTGTCACCAAAATGGAAATAGCACATTTGTATAAGAAATACAATTTACGTTATAGAGCAAATCTCTTTAACACAAATTTAACCAAATCTGTGTTTTTTTTTCCCTTGCCAAAACCAACATCAACCCAATTTGCAAGGACTTGAATTCCAAAGGGTCAAAAGATTCTGCAATCACCTGCTGAACATTTGGTGCCAAGACACCAAGGCAGTTCTGCTGCCTCAGCTGCGTCCTACCAGCAGTGAGGGAGATATTGCAAACAAGGTGGTGTGTCAGCACAACAGAGCAAACATCTCCACTTGTAGAATGCTGCCAATTGCATGGATTTGACTCTTTTTAATGTGTTAAGTGCCCAGGTTACACAACTTTCATTTTTGAAAGCTGGCTTTTTTTTCAGTTCCTCAGAAAAAGTTTGTGTCTTAAACATTACAAGTTTTAACCCAGAGGCAACGTACAAGTTTCAGGTAACAAAAACAGTATTATGCAATTTTACCTGTAAGGAAGAACTCAGACAATGTGCTCATGCTACTTATTTTCAGTATCTAAGTGTAATTTCTTTAAGGTCTTCCACCAAAAAAGGTGTCAACACACTCCTAACTTTTAATTCAGTATCTCAGCACACACAAGCTTCAAACGGAAACATTACACCACACCTAGAACGCCCCCAGTAAATTCTCTACTCTTTCCATATCTACTCAAACATGGAAATAACAGGAACAAGGAAAGCACGGTATTTCACAGCTTATTTGGGTGAGGGTTTTTTTGACTCTTAAGACTGTATTTCAGAAAGAGAAATCTGTAGATATTAGGCGACTACTTAAGACTTTGCTTAGATAAAAGTGAGTCTGGATTTTAATGCAAATATGACACACTGGAGAAAAAAAACATGGACTAACTGCAACTACTGGCAAACAAGCAACCCACAGGTCTGGAGAGGAGAAAATAAAAAAACAAACAACCCTCTAAATTTACACAAGTACAGGAATAACCAGGAACCTACTCTCAGGAAAGTGAAAGATGAGAAATCTACAGACTTTTTTTACAACTTTGACCCAGAAACAAAAGAGGGATCACATCCAGACCAAATCAGGTGATTGAAAAGAGAGAAGAAAAAGCTTTTGAGTACTTATGCTGGGAAATTCTGCATAAATATGTCACCATCACTCCAGCACACATGAAGTTTCATCTGTTGTTAGCCCCTGCATTTACTTAAGGGCTAAATAAGAAGCTTAAGTAACTCTTAACGACTCACACCTTTAAAGCATACAGCCTTATATTTGAAACTACAACAACTACTAAGCATGCAGTAGACGAGAATACACACCCGGTATCTCCCAATCCATGAAGAAAAATGACCTAAAGGGAAAACAAAACAACAAAACGTAGTGGTTTAAGATTACTAAACAATAACCACACCTGATCTGCGTACCACAGCAGCCCGCACACGATCACACAGTTAGGAACTCCACAGGACTTTCTCAAAAGAAAACTCTGCTTCACTCATCCCATCCCAGCTCTCCCCCATGCTGGCTCCCCAGACCCCAGGTCCCTTCCAACCCGGATCCCCCTCTCTCCAGCTCTCCACCCCCTCAGCCGCCATCAGCGGACGCACCCGCCCATGCCCGACACACAAGGCCGACACCGATGACCTTCCCGTGCCCAGCGCGGACTCCAGCCGCGAAAGGAGCGGGACCTCAGGCAGCAAAGTAACGGGAGAGACCTGTCAAAGTGCCCGGGCTGGGCCGCCCCGCCATAATGCCCCCCCCAACACACACACCAGGCGTCCACCCTCAGCCAGGCCGGGCCTGACCGCGGCCTCGCCCTCAGGCTGCGGGGCCTCCGCGACCGGCGGTGCGGAGGCCCCCCCGCCCGGGGCTAAAGCCACAGCTGAGAACAAAAGGGGGGCGGGGGCCCCTAGCCTCCGACGCCTGCCCTTGGCTCGCCCCGATCCGCACTCACAGCAGCTGTTGCCTTCCTGGCGGCCGGGACGATGGCGGGGAGCGGCGCCGACATGTTGTTACCGCACATACACCGGGCTGCGAGGCGGCCAGTGGGACACCGGCCAGGAGCGGGGAGGCGGGACTGGCGCCGGGCCAGGGGGGAGGAGGAAGGCGGGCGGGAAGGAAAGGAGGAGGGGCGCAGGCGGGCAAGCAGCAGCCGGGGAGCCAGGCATGGTGGCAGGAGCCCCAGATATACACCCACGCCCGGTGACAGGAGCCCCACATATACACCCGGGCCCGGTGGCAGGAGCCCCACATATACACCCGTGCCCAATGGCCGTCTGCGGGCCCGGCTGTCGCCGGGGTAGCAGCACGAAGACGGCCATATGGAGTTCAGAGTTTGAACTGCCTTTCACCTTAGAATCATAGAATTAACCAGGTTGGAAAAGACCTTTAAGATCCTCTAGTCCGACCTTTACCCAAGGACTGCCGAGTCCACCATTAAACCATATCACCAAGGACCTCACCTACACAGTTTTTGAACACTTCCAGGAACGGTGATTCCACCACGTCCCTTGGAAGCCTGTTCCAGTGCCCGAGCACCTTTAAAACTGCCTTTCAAACAGATAGATATATATATGCCAGATTATTTTGCACTTGTATATTGTGATTTGTACATGTCTGTGGTTTGTTTCCTGTAAAAATCATTATGCTTATTGGCTGTGCATATCTATGAGCTGTACATATTTATGCTGTATAGGCATATTTTCTGCTTAGGGTAAAAGGGATGTTAGAGTATTCTTAAATAGCTAAATACAAAAGAATAAGTCATGGGAAACAGGAAAACCAGCGCAAATGCAGTAAACAGCAGCATTGTTAGAGGGAACTCGTTTGTTCTCATCAGATCAGATGCCTTCATCACCAAATTAAAGCTTCTGGCTTACAGCCAAAGAGTCGATGATTCTTATTCATCTTGAAATGTATTAGGCTATTCAGGCACTCTGCATTGAAATTACTGGATCATTCCAGTCCATTCCAAATACTTAGACCAACTCCAAGCAAGTATGGCAAACACATTTCTATCAAAATGAAAGACTTTGTTCTTTGTCTTATGTTCCATACATCTTTGTCAGATACTTGCTCCCGGAAAGTCAATCTACTCATTGTATTTGCCGGGTGGTATCTGGCTACCAAGGATGCTTTCTTGGCAGCTCAAACAACAGCTGAGAGCACGCTATGCTTCTTTCACATCCTACCCACTAGCATGTTCCACACCAGGCAGAGATGTTTTTTCATAAAGCTTTTGCTCAACAACCCTTATATTTTTATCAGCATGGCTGCATCAAGTATATTGGAAAAGCCTTTGTGCCAGCTGTATAACATTAAACACACAGCCTCTTTTGCCATGGTTATCAAGCTGCATTTATGCCAGGGGGTCCCTGTTATTGCTAAAATTGGGTTATTTTCACAGGTAGCCCTTTGTGTTTTGATTTCTCTCTACTTTAGTGTGTGCTCTTGCCTCACCTACTGCACCCAATTCATATCTGTTAAGAAAATACAGCTCACGCATAAAAGATTCCTAAAAGATCTGGAGCTTCCCATTATGTCAGGTGCTTCCCAATTATGCTGAACCTAACTCTTGCTGTAGAGCATCCTTTTGGGGCATGAACAAAGTTTTGTGTTCCTTCTCTATTTTGCTATTTACTGTGAAAATACCACCTCCATAAGGTGATGAACCTCTGGGCTAGGAGATCAGTACTCTGCTCATAATTAGACCAAGCTTTTAATCTTTTAGTCAGTATAGCTGGAGTGAACTTCCCTGAATTCCCAGCTGCTGCCAGTGAGGCTGAGGGGCACTGAGGAGAGGTGAGCACTGCGTGGACTGAGCATGCACTCTGCCCCTTACAGGCAAGTGTTCGAGGAACTGAGCTGCTGAAAACTGATTGATGGATCTTTCAGATACTTGCAAGTTGGCTGTCTCTTTACAGTGAGGTGTCTATCATACAGGTGATACTTCTCCATCTAATTTCAGTGTTCTGATTAAAGAGAGCATTACAAGGCAAACCATGCTCTAAACTGTCTATTTTTCCCTATCCTGGAGGCTGAAACGGACTTGGATAAGATGGTTGTCCATACCTGAGTTTCCTGTGGGTTGTTACATTGCAATTTGTATTATTTTTTTTATTAATTTTTTGAAGGGGGGTAAGAAGCTGTACAGATTTCTGGGTGAAACTTGCTAATTTCTGCAACATTATTTCCGTTTCACCCCTTTACTCATAACTGGCTGAGCTGTTATGTGACCTGTCCTCCAAGATGTAATCTGAAACAGACATTCAACAGGGAAGAAGGTTGTGGTCAAACGGAAGTTTCAGGACCAAAAGCAGGATATTGCACCAAGGAGTACTGGGTAATTTTCACAACAGGAACTGGCCTTACTGCTAACTCCTCAGCAGCAGCTTCTAGAATTCAGTTCTTTGTCTACACCCTGCACCCCCTGCTTCAGAGAGTAACTCACTTTCCACCAGACCCATATACTGGTTGAAACTGCTGTGTGATTTTCCAGTAGGTCTACTTCTTAGATTAAAATAACAGAAGTGGTCAAGTACAAGGAGAGTCTCTCATCAAAGAATCACAGAATAGTTAAGATTGGACCTCAAGATCATCAAGGGCCATGAGCCCTTGTCTCATCACCACAGTCGCTGATGTGGTGGCCACAAGGATGATAAGGGGACTGGAGCACCTCCCATACAAAGACAGGCTGAGAAAGATGGGGCTGTTCAGCCTGGAGAACAGAAGGCTGCATGGAGACCTCATAGCAGCCTTCCAGTATCTGAAGAGGGCCTACAGGGATGCTGGAGCAGGACTCTTCATCAGGGACTGTAACAATAGGACAAGGGGTAACAGATTTAAACTTAAACAGAGGAAGTTCAAGTTAGCTATAAGGTTCTTTACTGTGAGGGTGGTGAGGAGCTGGAACAGGGTGCCCAAAGAAGTGGTAAATGTTCCATCCCTGGCAGTGTTTGAGGCAACGTTGGACAGAGCCTTGGGAAACATGGTCTGTTGTGAGGTGTCCCTGCTCATGGCAAGGGAGTTGGAACTGTATTATCTTAAAGTCCTTTTCCAACCCAAACTGCTCTGCCCCCTATCATCCTCGTGGTGTTCCTCTGTACTTGCTCCAAGAGCTCCATGTCTTTAATAGTCATGCACATTTCCAATAAGTATCTCCCTTTAAACTTTGTTGGATTGATGCAGGGTGTAGCACTTCTGAGGGATGTTCTGTCAGTTGGTTTTAGATGCAGGCCAGTGGTCGTAAAGGCTTGGTGTTATGTGACTGAGATCTGTGAGTAACAGAAAAGTAAATACTGTGAAAGGATGCGTAGTTTGGGACCCACGAGTGTTCTAACACACGTTAGGCCCGGACTCTCCGCATCTTCCCCGTTCATCCCAGCACAGAGCGTAGGCGGCAGCAGCCAGCCGAGGCCCAAGGCGGCAGCCGCGCTGATCTCTCTCCGCCCCCGGCCCCGAGGAGGCTTCAGCCGGAGGTGGCAGGGCCCTCTGCTCGGGCACGCCGCACCTCTTCCCGCCCCACGGTTCGGGCGCCCTGGATCACCGAGCAGGGTTCCCAGTCTCTGCCCTACGCTACCGCAGCCCCCTCTACACCCCAGCTGGCAGGGGAGCCTGCACGACACTGTTGAGAAGTCGCGGGAGGTGCGGTTTATGGTTCTGCCGTAAAGCAACTGCGCGGACCAGCGTTGCGGCCGCCCTTGGGAGGTGAGCGGACATGAGTGGGAATGGCGGGAGCAAGGCCCTGGAGCTGCTGCGGTCGCTTCCTAGGGTCAGTCTGGCCAACCTAAGACCGAGCCCAGGCTCCAAAAAGAAGGTGAGTGCCTGCAGCTTGTTGGGTGGGGTACGGGTGCTCTTTCCCCGCGGTGGCAGGACGCTGTCTCGGCAGCCGCCATACCTGGCCCCGGTAGCGTTTGCCTGGGGGGTTCTCAGAGAGCTTTTAGGGAGATGGCTGCAGGCGCAGGAGAGCGGCCTCGCCGGAACAGGTGTGGGAAGGCAAAGGAGTGAGTGGTACTGTTGTGTGTGTTGGCCCTGTTCTTGCCCTTTGCGTGCTTGTAGCGGGTGCATGAGTAGCCATACGCACAGAGAATAGGTTGATGAGCGGCCCTGACTAAGCCTCAGGGCCATTGTCGGGATCTGTATGGAGACAGTAAAAAAGGAGTACCAGATACTTATGGAATGGAGTAATATATTTGAAAAGGGACAGTTAAAAGGAGTGTGATGCCAGGAGGATTTGTTGTTACTATTGTTTTATCAAAACCAAAACTAGATCTTATCTTCCTTGTCTTCTTGTAAAGTGATAGAACACTAAATAAAAGAAACCAGGAAGAAACTCTCCTGGTTTGGGAGGAATATCAGTAAAGAGGGGAATGAGGTTCAAGGGCTAAAGTCATAGGAATAGAGAAATGGCACCAAGCAGCACTTCCCTGTCAGTGCTTAAGGCTCCCTGTAGATGCTTGCAGAGCTGGTGAGCACTGCTTAGTTGTAACCCAGAAACTCCTCTTGCCTTGACAAGGCAAGATAAAGGAAATTCTTCTCTCCCTGCAGCTGTTGGCGTTCTCCTGTCAAGTTGCTTCACTTGGATCTGTGAATGCCCAGCTTGGCCAGGGTCAAGCAGAGCTAGAAGTCACCCTGTACAGGACTGGAGTGGTGATTCTTAAGGTTTTTCAAACTAATCCAGGCTTCGAAATGGTATTTTCAGGCTTAGCATCCAGAAGATGTGAGATAATTTGGACTTGAGGTTTACTAGAACCGATGCTTTCCTGCCAGTGTTTGGTCTCAGGACCTGTGTTTTTCAAGGCAGCTATTGGTTTTTGGAAGCCACTTTTTTTTCAGCTCAAAAATAGAGATTTTTATATGCTCACTGGCTCTTTAGCAGGTAATTTGGGACTTCACCTGGGAAATGAGATTCTCCCCTCCCTCCTCCCCCCTTTTTGCTGTTAACTCTTTGCCTTCAGTTAGAGTTTGTACAAGTGACCTCGACTCTGTTTCTCTGGTATTTTTCTTTTTGTGCCTGACAACCTTATTCTGTGATTAAGGAAGTTCCCAAATAAGAGGATTTAAGAGCATTTGACTTCACAAATGTAAGTTGCAGCAAAAAAACTTGAGTTTTGACAAGGTCCTCTGACAATCTAAAATCTGGTCAATGTACTGATTATATTCTCTTTGTGACCAGATGTTCCCCGTGTACTTGTGTTAACTAAAGTCACCATGTAATCTGGTGTGTGTATGGGCAACTGCCAGAAGCGGGGAGGGGGTGTGCATCTGGGCAGTCCTTTTGCCTCCAGGTGCTCACACCCACTGTGTATTTTGTGCTGCTGCTAGAGATTGTGCAGTGACCCAGAACAGGGAACTAAACCACCTGAAATCAGGTTAGATGAACATTTAATTCCCTGACCTGTCCAGGACAGAGCTGCACAACAGCTTGTGTAAGTGCAAGAAGCTCTATAAGCCCCATGTGGGCTGGGGACAAGTCAATTTCCTTTGGTGGCAGGGATGGTCTAATCTAGCATAAAACTGCACTTGACTAATATTTGGAGCTGTTCAGCCTGGAGAAGAGAAGGCTTCGTGAAGACCTCATAGCAGCCTTCCAGTATCTGAAGTGAGCCTGCAAGGATGCTGGAGAGGGACTGTAGTGACATCAGGAACTGTAGTGACAGGACAAGGGGTAATGAGTTAAACTTAAACATAGGAAATTCAAGTTGGTTATAAGGAAGAAGTTCTTTACTGTGAGGGTGGTGAGGCACTGGAACAGGTTGCCCAAAGAAGTGGTAAATGTTTCATCCCTAGCAGTGTTCAAGGCCAAGCTGAACAGAGCCTTGACAGAGCTGACATGGTCTAGTGTGAGGTGTCCCTGCCTGTGGCAGGATCGTTGGAACTGGATGATCTTTAAGGTCTCTTCCAACCCAAATCATTCTACGGTTCTGTGATTTAGCATTAATAACGGTAGGTTTGTATCTTAAGTCAGATGTTGTTTCAAATAGAGCAGAAAAAAAATCATTAATATATGTCCATACTGACTCTTCTACTAGTATGTCATTGCATGTTAAGTAATAACTTTGGAAAATTTACAGACACAATAAAGAGCATAAGCCATCAAACTTTGTGTCTTTGTAGTGTTAGGCTCATAATCAAATACCATGATGTAATGAGCGTTTCTCAGATTTGAGTGAAATATACTGAATAGCCATTCAGTATTCTGTGCTGCAGTCTAACTGCACAGAGTGATTCGTAGAATTAGGGTGCTTGAAGCTTGGTTATCTGAGTGTTGAATGGTACTGAAGGGTGCAACTGACCTGGATTTTAAATTAAAGGTTAAAAAGGTTTACCTGTGCTTATCTCTTTGATCCCATTCACCGTTTAGCTGTGCAAGTACTTCTGGTGGTGCAAGAAGATTGTGCAACTGCAACTTAAAGCTGTGGTGCTGCTTTAAAGTGCTCGAGAAACTAATAACTTAGTATAATAGTCTTTTAAAAATAATAAAGGCTAAAATAAAATCTGTTCTTTTGATTTGTTGTCAGTAGAAATTGCAACACTAGCAGACTGTTTAGAAAGTCTGAATCCATACAAAGAATTCCCTATACATGCACAACATACATAGTCTGTTCTCCTGCACTTTGAAGTAGAATTGATTTGGGTTTTTTTTTCTTTGATTTCTTTTTTCCGTTGTCAGTTTTGGGAAACTCCTGAGCACTGAGTAACTTTCTCATGAAATAGGAGGAAATGTCAATAGTTAATTCAGGAAAATTCTCTGACTTGGATGTATAAGAGGTACGATTAAATACTGGTATTCCTTCTATAGCAGTATGTGTTCATGTAAACTTTCAGACTGTTTGTGGTGCCTGCCTAGAGCTGTGTGTGCTCTGCAAAAAACCTGTTGAATCCTTTCTGGTTTTCCCCTTAGAAAAGAGCTGTCTCATAATTTTTCCTCCAGAACACCTTTTTGTTTAATTGTTTGTATCTCAGAAATCTTATGTTTTATAGATACTTCTCTTCAAAGTAGTTGACTAAATGTATTGTTGATTGTTTTCAAGGAGAAAAGACGTGGCCGTGGAAGGTATGGAGGTAGGAAGTGTGGTCGAGGTCACAAAGGAGAAAGACAAAGAGGAAATCGCCCCCGATTAGGCTTTGAGGGTGGCCAAACTCCATTTTACTTGGTCATACCAAAATATGGGTTTAATGAGGGACATAGGTAAGTTCATTCACATTTATGTGTAAATTGATCATTTTCTGCTTTTGTTGATCTTTCTCCTGAAGCCAGATTCTAATATGTTAAAACAGGCCTAACTGAAAATGAGATATTCCTCTCAGATTGCTAGCTTCCTTACCAGCAGAATCTCCCACTTCTTGTGAGATTATTTTTTTAATGAATTAACTTATTTTCTGTTGGTGTACAGCTTTGCTTATTAACCCTTTTCTTTGCGTAATCTCCCACCAGCTGAATGTGTTTCTCCTCTGACACTGTTCCTCTATGTGTGCTAGTTTCTCTCAGCCTGTTAGCACAGCAGGTAACCTATCGAACCAACTGGGAAAAGCCCCACTGATTCCAGCAAGGATGTTGGGCATGACAGTGTAATCCATAGCCTTGCTTTGTTATTTCTCTTTGCTGTATTCACCTGAATCTGTGATCTGCTGCTAGCTAAACAATTCTGCTTCTTTTCATGACTCTACTTTCTTAGCCCTTCAACACTGCAGTATTTTGTCTGTCTGTACTCAGTCTGTTATACCTAGGGTCTTAACAAGCACTTTGATATCAAATCTGCTGGATGAGGCCAGTAAGTCATGTTTCACTGTTGTTCTCCTTGGGGATTGCCTTGTTTGACACTCTGTCCTCTTTTCACATTGTGCTTGTTTGTACTGTGTCCATCTTCCAGCTTTTTAACGTTTTAAAGTATTCTTCTAACATGTCTTTTTCTGCAGTCACTGTCCTTAGCTGGAGAGCCGTGTGCCACTGTTCTATTAATTTCTTTCCCTTATGTTGACAATTTAAAAAAAATAATTGTGGTGGGTTTTTTTTTGTTGTTATTTAAAGCTGGTTTTGTTCCCTAAGATAGCATGTGTGTTACCTGGGTCACTAACCATTTTGTTGCTTTAGGTGTGGTCGTGAAAACTTCTGCACCCATACAATGCTGTTACAGACAGTAGTAACAAAAATATGCCACACCTAGCAGACATTTCAAGAATGAAAAGGCTAATGTGTATTTGCTTGTGAATTGTTAAACTTACAGGTTGTTTCATCTGCTGATATAATTTCAAATAGTTGTGCATTTTTGTATTTACATGCTTCATGTGTGCACCATAACTTACAGACCTGTCCTGGTTATTAAAGCTTTTCTGTGTGTCTTACTAGTTTTGAAATGTAATTCAAACTGTATTTCCAAGCACTGTCATTTCTTCCTGTTTGTTTACATTATTATAAGAGTAAATGAGAAGCACCTTAGAAGACAGAATGTAGATTTGCAGTCCAAAGGAAATGCTGCACAGTGCAGACACTGAGCTTCTTATGTTAACAGTGGGCACAAGTACATCAATAACCAACACCAAAAATCCAAGCTTCTGCAGTGACAAGAAATTGATAGCCTTGCTCTTTTTAACCACATCTGACAGCATGTGGAAACAAAAAATGTATTTTGTAATTTCTTTTCGATATTGTTTGCAAAATTTCCACATCAGGCAATTGTGAATGTTTTCCTAGTGAACATGTTGTGCACTGGAGAGACATGGCTGGATGGGAGCACACTGAGCAATGTCTTTGCCTGTTTATCTTCACCTCGCTCTTCTCACTATCTGCAGTGGTGTTCCTCTACTTGAACTTCTGCTCTGTTAGGAACTGTCTGGCAGTGCAAATTGTCTTACTTGTCTTTCTTACTTAGCTTGCCAGTAAAAGATAAACTGCTGCTCAGTTTTTCTGTTACCACTCACCAATTTCCACTAGCAGTGGTCAAACTGTATGAGAGTTTTAAGCATTGACATCAGTGGAATGCAGGAGGCATAGACACTGAGATGGGGAAAACTGTTCTGAGGATTTGCTTGTATTCTAAATTTAGAACTGCGTAAACCCCAAAATTAGATTCTGCTGAAGCTGGTGACTATTGATGAAATATTCCAGCTTTCTCTGGGATACGGGTTAATGTGTATGTTTGCAATGTTTCTCTTTTTTTTGTGGTACTTAGAGGAAGATTCCATTTAGTACTGGTGAGATACCAGGTACAGTGGGAATGGACTGAAGAAGTCTTGTTGGATATAGGCAAGCTGTGCAGTAGCATGTGCTGGGTTTGTTTTGGTAATTTTTTATATGGGAGGAGAGGGTATATTTGTTTTTGATTGTGTTTTGCTGTCTTTGTTTTTTTTTTGGGGGGGGAATTTTCTGAATGTATCAGTGAAGCTACCAAGCTTGATTCACTTTGAGCATGGTAGTTATTTAGAACCATGTTGGCTTCCCAGGAAATGCTGACACTTTGATTCCTTCATTTATTAATATCATACTGGAGGTGGGGTTGTATGAGCAACCTTGAAGGCATAATGGAATCCTGTGCTGTAACAAGGGCTTGTATTTGCCTTATGGATGGGTGTGTTTTAAACATTTCCTTGGTAGTGTTAGGAGTAGGTAGAAAATGGACTACAGTGTGCAGTACCTCAGTTGACCACTTCCTAGTAAAGCTTCAGTTTTGTAAATTCCTGATTGTTTTGTTTGGTTGTTTTTTGTTTTCCTCTCCCCAGCTGCAGACGTCAGTATCAACCGCTCAGTCTACAGAGGCTGCAGTACCTGATTGATTTGGGTAGAGTTGACCCCACGCAACCGATTGACTTAACACAGCTCATTAATGCCAGAGGTGTAACGGTGCAACCTCTCAAAAGGGACTATGGTATCCAGCTGGTGGAGGAGGTATGCATACTAGAATGTCAGGTTCTTTGCCGTGTTTTGGAAGCATCTTTGCTTCATAAATTAGTTTGCTGTGGAATTTTTGTGGTAGTAGATCCACTAGAGGGCACTGTGTGTTAGCAAAAGAAAAACCCCAGGGTGGTGTTTTAAAACCTGAGAGACTATAAAAATGAAGGTGAAGGAGCGCATAAGAAGAGGTCGAACAAGTCTTTTGCGCAGAAGACTAGAATGTACTGAAGGAAATGTGTGCATGTTTTGGAAAGGCAAAGGATTTGTTTTTTCATTCAGCCCAGGTGACTGAGCAATTTGGTTACCTGTCTTGGTGCAGGGAACAGCCATAATATTTTGCTGGATTTAATGTTTCTACAACTCTGCAGAGAAGAATAAATGTATGTCATGAAATACTTATTTTAATGTTACTCTGTGTTGAAATTTACAGGGTGCTGATATTTTTGCAGCAAAAGTAAATATCGAAGTGCAGAGGGCATCTGAATTAGCAATTGCAGCTGTAGAAAAAAATGGAGGTGTTGTAACAACATCATTCTATGATCCAAGGAGTTTGGGTAAGAATTTCTCATCCACTTCTTCTAAAAGCTTCAACAAAACACTGTTATAGAAATGTTGAACTGTAATGCATCCTCAGTTTTGCTCTTTAGCCCTAGCAATGTTTGCAGTCATTTACCCCAGTTAAAGAAGTCCAAGAAGCTTTGTAAGTAGAGGAACTAATAAAAAAAATTATTTTAATTTTTGTCTTCTTTCTCACATGTTTAATAACACTGAGAAGATTCAGGAGAAAAAGATCTGGAAAACACTGTGCATGTTTATATTTTTAATTTAAAATACTTTCCAGTTAAAATGAGGAAATAACTAAGTTTCAGAAGCTCAGAATCATTCCAGTCAAAATGGCTATTGTTTTCAGAACACTTTCACTGAAGAATGAGGCTTTGCTTTACTTGAGGCAGCATCGTGCCTAATATTCATTCATGCAGTTTTTATTGACAATAATGGAGCTTTCATGTGTGAATGAGGCTGAGAACAGGAGGAATAGACATTTTTAGTGTGCAAAATATGTTACCCTGGAGTGATACAAGTTCTTTCTTTTTTTTTTTCCAATTGGAAAAATAATCAAAATACTGAGATTAAAAGCATTCGGAATGTAATTTGCCAAATTCAGTAAAACTTGAGGAGAAGAGGATAGTCTCACAGATGATTAAATAGGTGCATGTGCCATTCATTCTTGATTCAAAAGTACTTAACAGGAACACCAAATTTGACATTTGTTGGTACTCTGTGTAAGTAGCCATGCAAATGCATTGCTTCTAACCTGAAAGTCAACCCTTTAAATAAATGGTAGCATCTAGCTTAGTATCTTTCTGAAGTTGACATTCTAAATGTATTAGAAGTAGTAGTTCATCCAGACTGTCACTGTAAATACCAGTTCAAGCAGAGGCGTTTGATTAAACGAAACTGTTAAACCACTGTCTCATTCTGAGCAAGAGTATTCTGAAGATTTGGGGGTTTTGCTTGATACTTGTGGTAAGAGTTGAAAAATTTATTCAGCACAAAATATCAAATTAAGAAAATATAATTAATGTCTTTAAATATGTCTTACAAAGCATAGCATCTAATGTTCTCTCATGTCTGCCCACAGAAATTTTATGTAAACCAATAGCATTCTTCCTGCGTGGCCAGCCTATTCCAAAGCGAATGCTTCCACCCGAAGATCTAGTTCGTTACTACACAGATGCCAGGAATCGTGGGTACCTGGCAGATCCATCTAAGGTTGCAGAAGCCAGGCTTGAACTTGCCAAGAAATACGGCTATATCTTACCAGACATAACTAAGGATGAACTCTTCAAAATGTTAAGCATGCGCAAGGATCCTAGGCAGATATTTTTTGGTCTTGCTCCAGGGTGGATCGTGAGCATGACAGACAAGAAAGTTCTAAAACCAACTGATGAGAGGCTGTTAAAATACTATAGCTCATGATTTCAGGACTGGAGACAACTGCAGGTGTACAGGAAACATCTGGGTATGAAATAATGGATACCAAGTGATGTTTGGTTTTTTTAAGACTCCTGTTAAACTAGACAAAACATAAATTTTTGTTCTTCTGGGCTAACTCAACTTTATTATTGTCATAATGCATTGTATGAAAAGTCTTAACATTTGGAAACAGCATAGAGTCTGACATAAAATGCATGTTGGAGCACTTTCTCGCATTGATTTGCAAGTTATGTTATTGGATGGAATGTTGTGATGTTGCATTTATTTCAGAGGATGATTCCAAAGAGTAACTTGACATAATAATTAGTTTATACCCTCCCCCCCACCATTTAAAATCAGAAACGTGGCTGTACGGAACTCCTATTAGTTTTACAATCATACTACATACAGTTTTCTAGCACATAATTTATAATGTTAGCTTGAATACCTCTTGAGGTACTCACCTTTTTTCAGATGGGGAAAATTAGAACCAATTGGAAGTAACAATGTACAGAAGAATTCATTATCCTTTTCAATACCATAGCAATGTTTTGCATTTTGCCATTGCCATTGATAGCAGTAGAGCTTGAGAGTGTCTTGATTTTTGTCTTATTCCTTCAGGTGGAAGTGAGAAGGGTAGGGTATACAGTTTAAAAGAACTTTTTGTCTAAATTTAGAAGGAAAAAAAAAAGATATCTATCTTAAATCAGTGACTTTTTTTTATTCAGTCAGAATTTAAAACTTGTCCAGACACAAATGTCATTAATGGAAATGCGTAGCAGAATCTGGAGTCAATGAATACTAGAAAGTGGCCATAGTTTGGGAAGGATGAGGATGTGATGAACAAAGTACACAATTAGGATCAGTTTTCAGCTTTATCACAGGTTGCATATGTGACAGTGCGCAAATGAATTAAGATGATGTGAGAAGTTATGAGCAAATTCTTTTTATCCATGTATCAGGTTGGTGTCATTAAAATCTTGAAAAACATTTTCTAACAAATGTGTGTATTGTCAGTCTCTGCAGAGTGCTGTATTATTGCTGTGAAAGAGTATTCTAGGTTTCACTCGCAAGATTAGTTTTGGCATCTGCGGTGGTGAAACAAGTCAGTTGAAAGGTGAGAGAGGAAACTAAGTTATCGGAAGTTGCTCTGACTCCTCAGAAGTTAATGAGATCCCTCATAGTTACATGAACTTTAACAGAAGCTGAATTTGGCTTTAAAATAGGGATAATTTGTTTATTAGGATGCAGGAAACAACCCGGAAGACCAGAACACAAGAAGTCGTTTTGCTTCCCAATTTTCATGTGCCTCTGGAAATGCTACTTAGAGTTTCCTGTAGGTGCCAAACCAGTCCATCTCCTGGGAAAGCCCTTTGAGTGCCTGAATCTCCTGTCTCTCCTGTTTCTGTATAACACTGGTATTTTGCTGGTGTGCCTCAAATTTAATAATCTTTTTCTCTCAGAGAATAACAAGAGGAGGAGGAATTTTGTAATTGGTGTTTGTCAGCCAGCCCAGATTTTTGCTTCACTCAACAAACTGCATTGTCAATTAATAGCAGCATCTGTAAACACAAATTAAGTCTCCCATTCTCATGCTCATTAACTAATCTGAAATTTAGAGCTTAACAATGGAAAGTCCCTAACTTTTGACTAGTTACTCTTCAGGTTCTATTGTTCATTCTTAATGTGTGTTTAGATGCTATCAGTAATAGTAGTTCTCCTGACTTGTGGTTTAAGTATAGGTGAGACAGCAAAAGAACACCAACATAAAATTGGATTGTGAATAGCAGGAATTTGGTCTTAGTGGTGTTAAGAGTCATGTTTTATAAGGTGCACAACCCTTCTTTGGAACCTTAAGAATAATACTGTGTGCCAAGAAAAGTATAGCTAGTGTTAACTTGAATGTGAGGTAAATAACTTTCTCACTTTAGATGTATCCTGTTCTGCATCCTGATGATTGTTGGTTTGGAACCTTAAATGACAAGCAATACTTTTTTTTCTCTGTTTGTTATTACAATACTACACTGCCTCCATTTGGGAAGGCGTTGGAGGAGGGGGGGAAGAGTATTTATTGCCTTCCCTTATTTGTGCCATAATGTTTCTGTTTTTATGAATCAATTCACAATTGTATTTTGTGGAGGTGGTGGTACTCAACAGGAAAGCTACTTAACTGGAAGCGAAGAAGGAAGTTAGTCATATTAGTGAAGACCAGAAGACAAAAGTGTTTATGTATCATTGTGTATTTTGGGGAGAAGAAGGGGGGGGTGGCAACTTTATTTCCACTCCTGCTCTTTGTATTAAAATGAACAAATTGCTTTTGCAATTTTTTTGTTTTCTAAATCAACTTCTTTGATACACGCATGCATGCACTGGTTTCTGTTTTTATAATGGTTTTCAGGTGAAAGGGTAACTTGGATAAAATGATAACAGTGAAAGAAAGAATGAAAACAGGAAACAGATGTCTGGTGACGTTGAGGGATTGGATAGCACTTATTCAGTGAACGACATCTTAGTCACAAGGCAGCTGTATCCTGGCTCTGATACTACAACGCTACAAATACCTTGGAGCCAAAACAGCCACGTTCCACAAAATCCGGTCATTCTGCTTTATAAAGGTGATTTTTTTTATCATCTTATAATTGGAGAGGGCAAAAAGGGCTGTATGTTGCTTTATTTAAAATATGCAACACTGTCTTTTTTTTCTTGTAACCTCTTCTGTTTACACTAGCTAGTGTTTTATGATGGTTGCTCTGATTTTTATTTACTAGTGAAAAAGTGGCAAGGCTATAGAGGATTTCCTGTTCACTTTATCTCGTCAGGAACACAAGGCTCCTGGCAACCAAACACAGAATTATCAAAAGCACGAATAAGTTATTGACAAGGTTTCTAATAAATCCGTAATAAACAGTCTCCCAATGGACTGTTGTTTATGTGAAGATCAGACTCACTGATGCAAGACTAAGGCAGCACTGGCATCTAAGGCCATTCTCTTTACTTAGGAATATGTACCATGTTTTCATGTTCACCAGATAAATGATTGCTTTGGATATCCTGTTTTGATAGGGGGTTTTATATGCACCAATGTATTGCGCAGTGAGAAGCTCCCAATCTGCTGTAACCAGAAAAGCATTATCAAGTAGCTGAGAATAAATGATACTTGTGCCATAAAATGCTGAAAGCCACGTCAGTTTTTATTGTCAACATCGTACTTTTGAATGGTTCCTTGATAAAACTGATTACATATGTGAGACTGATATCAAAATAAGGGCCTCTGAATGAGTATGTGCCTTGTTATACTGTGATAATTAGAAATCACAGATTTCCTATGGGAGAGACTCTACTAACTGCACCTGATCAAGAATATACTTGCAGGTACCTGACTGCAGACTCAAAATGAAGCAAGTTAAAGCATACATTTTCCCTTTTACTTATAACAAAAACATGTTGCCTTTTAATTTGGTATACTTCATATTATAGCATTCATGTTTAACAACTGGAGTTGATGGTGCCATTCTTTGATGTCCATGAAGGAATAAATCTGTGGCCTTGATCTAGATCTTCGCTGGCAGCATGCCAGCATTGTTTTGACATACAAGCATAATTCATGGTAGTGCTCAGGAAGTCATATAAAAGTGATCAATTATGAAGATAGCTTCCCATTGCTATTTTATTATTTTGCATTTTATTGCTAAAATTCAGAATGCTAATGCAAAGCTAATTTTGTACTGTTGAACACTTGGGTTCTGTAAAAATCTGTCTCTAATTTGAAATTGTTGCACAAGTTCTGCATTTTAAATATTTAAGTGTTATATTTACACATATCTAAAATCAGAAAGATGCTGTGTCTGTCCAAAGTGGTCAGTTTTATATTCCATATGCAGATTTATTTCTTAAAATTTTGTGATCAGCTGGGAATAGGACAGAACCCACAGTCTATACTTTACGTTATTGTTATTGTTCAGTCTATGAAGAGGTGTAGTTACAAGTCCAGGCGTGACAGAATTCTTACCCATTAGAGGAAAATTATGAACTTTTTAAGCTCCATCTCCTAGCCCAGGTGTCCCCTCTTGGTCTTTTGTAGCAGAAATACATGGCATTGTCTAAAGTAAGCATTGGTTTCTCAGTGGAAGCAAACTGTCCTCAGATCTATTCTGTGTCCTTTGGCTAATATTCCTTCTGTTGCATCTGTATCTTCCCGAGGTCTCTTCTCATTTCTCCCACCGTAGTGGTGGGAACTACAGGGCTCAATCATTCTCACAGTGTCATCCTGTCTGGCCCACTCTGGGTTTGAAAATCTGGTTGTTTTATGTGCCTCTGGAGCAGGAAAAGTGTTGATCATTCCTGCATCTGTTTATACGAGGGGGTTTTTCATGGCTTGAGTTTCCTGGACTGGTGTTGCTTTTGTTGTTAAAAATGTCAACAGCAGTGTTGTTTACTAGTTAACCTTGTAGCTTCCAAGACACATGGTGACCGGGGTTGGAAGGCCCCTTGAGTAATGGATTCAGAGTTTACCCAGAGTCAAGGAGCACCCACTGAAGGGTGCCTGTAGACTGAGCTCAGAATTGCACACTCTAGATTCAAGTCTGAATGAATACGGAATTTTGCGTTCAATGCATCAATGCCCAAATTGGTCTGCCCTTGAGTTTTGCAAACCCAGCCTCTGTAAGATTCACTCTGTCTCCTGATAGGGTTGTCCTGTCTGGGTTCTATTTTCTAAACATGGGCAGGCTAACCTGAAAGTCCGACATTTCTTGATGTTAATGTTTTAACATAATTCACTTTTAATATCTGACAAGGGAGATGTTTGGGTTTTTTCACTTAATTGAATGTAACTGTGGTTCAGAGCTTCAAAAGTTGGAATCCAAGTTCCCTATAAATTTAGGATAGTGAGGTATTGACTTAATTTCAGAATTAATGCAAGTCTAAATTTACATTGCTCACATGTAGACAATTGCTTAAGCTCATTTCATGGTCAGTAGTAATCTGACTGATACAGTGAGCGAAGTCTGGAGAATTGCTGTGTTTAGCTTGAAGTGGACATCTGAGCAACTGAATTGCACTCCAAGCTCCACTGGCCATGATAGCAGTTTTAACATATAGCACACTTGTATATACCCAGAACTGATGTATCTGCAGCTGAATCTCTGTGTTTTCAGTGACCTGAGATGTTTGAAGTTAATAGTTGGACATTCTCCTTAGGGATCCACCTATCACCAATGTGGATTGCCCAGCTTGTCATTGGGAACTTCTGAAGCTTAATGTCTTATGTCTGCAAACACTTCTGAAGCTTTATGTCTTTTAGGTTGTATTTCTCTTTGAAGGGAAGCATGCTGATTTAATGAAAAACAAGTCAGAAGACACCTTTGGTGCCACAAGAGGTGAAATGCTGGCAGTCAGATACTCAGTGTTATTTTACAACCATTGGAGACAGCAGCTTTCCCAGGACACAGAAATTGCTGGCATCCCCACCTGGAAGCCACTGACTCTTTCGAGATGAATGACTCTCAGTTCCCAGCCCTGCATTGGTATTGCCATTCAAAATCTGCCCCCCTACCTTCTTTAGCTCTCATGTAATATGTTACTGATATTTGTGCTAAGTGATGTATGTGTTTCTTCCGTAAGCAAAGCATGGAAATTAAAGTCACCTGGATCTGCAAAAGTAAAAACAAGAGAGGAAGGTAGTGTTCCCCCCAAGGTATTTGCTTCAGCAGGTGGTGCTTGGAATGGTTGGAGAAGGTGACTGAGATATTTGAACACATATTCTCTCACTGCTCCCTGGGAACCCTCAATCCAGTATGTTTTAGGGCCTCACCTTTATCTACTGTGATGAATTGTGTTGTTTATATGAAAGAGGTTTGGACTCACCATTTTTCTGTTTCCTGTGATTCCTGGATCCCTGAAACCTCATCTATGTGTTTAGTTTTTAGTGCACAGGCAATCTCCACAGCAGGCAATCTGGGTACAGGCCCTGTACTACGCTTGAGACTGTTCCAGCCAAAATATTATTCTACTGGGTTTACGTTGGACTTGGCTGGTGGGATACTGCTGCCTCCCTGGGTTCTAGGACTTGTGAAATGTCTGGGCTAATTGTGACTTTGTTGTTGGGGTTTGTTGTTGTTGTTGGTGTTGGAAGGCTCCAGCCCTTCCACGTTCATCACCAAAGGTAATCACTGTGCAATGATCATGAAATGAATTAGTGAGGATATTAACATGTTGCAAAATTCTACCTGGGTGAGGTCTTCTGCCTCATTTTTATGTATCTGAGGGAATCAAAGCACAGGGATGCTGTAATTTTGTCTTTATTTATTGTGGAAATCTTATCTTTTGCAAAGTGCATGTTTTCCCAGCTCGAACTGTTGCTCTCAGCTGAGCTGGATGACTTTGCTTGCAGTGTATTAGGAAACTGCAGTGACAGCAGGCCCCTATAGACACTGCCATGCAGCCATAGTACTATAGTTGGCCCTAGATAAGGAAAAGATGCAGACTTGGGAAAATGAGAATAGTGGTATGAAAGCCTCCATCTGAAAAGATTCCAGAATCAGAAACATACAAGTGTTCTGCAAACACCACTGAAGCTCCACTGCATGTTTAATTGCTCGTTTTTTTTTGCTGACTGTACTGTTATGAACTATAAGTATTTGAGAAATGATTTAAAAAATACAGTTTAGGTTTTCTTTGTTGTCCTTAGAGTTTTCAGCCCTGCATGGATCTTGTTTCCAAGCATTGTTCCTGTATCCAGCAAGGCAACAAGCAAATTTAGGAAGTGGGAGCCAGCATTTTCATGTGATGGCATTATTCCAGGGACTGGTGCTTTAGGATAAACGGTAAATATTGTGAGGCTTGCAAAGCAGTTCCTGATTCATTGCTTATACGCTGCTGATTTATTCATTGTTTGAGAAGCATAACGCCTCTGCTGTCTCTGCAGTTTACCTCCAGTCACCTCTCCTCGGCATGAATGAAAAAAGAAACATGATGTTGTTTCCAGCCTCCAAACCTGATGGTAACAAATATTAGAGTACCAGGTACATAAATAAACATCCCACACAAACAATATCCTCCTCTGCTCCTTTTCCCAAATATCAGGACTGCTATGATCATCTGTAGTGCTGAGAGCTGTTGCATCTGCTCATGGGGATTTGGGAGAAGGTCCTGTGTGCTTGCACAGGCAAGGCTGACACCTAGTGACCAGACGCATTTATTCCTGTGGGAATTCCCTGAATTCTAGTTCTCTATTCACTCTTCTCTAAGTCTGGAAGGCTTAAATTTCGAGATGAACAGTTAATTGACTTAATCATCACATTTGGCCTTTTTTTTTCCCAGTGTTTCTAATGTACGCTTCAAAAGATGAAGTTAGGGTACCTTGAAAGCTTGTTCAAAACATGAAGGTTTTGCATCTGGTCTCCTGGGAGCTGTTTATTGCAGCTGCTCTGAGCAAACTGTGAGATGGCAGACAGCAATCAAAGTTCAGAATATGCTCCTTTTGTTTTCCTTAAAAAATCATGGCTGACCTTGGTGTTTGGATTCTCCTTACTCATCCAGTCTTAAAGAATCCAAAATCAGGCATGATGGGATATTCTCTGAGTTGGAGAATTTTCTGCTGACCAGGTGTAACATCTTACAATGGCACTGACACCTGTTTCATCATCAGGAGGTAGCTGGTCTCTTCTTCCAAGTAACAAGGACAAGAGGAAATGGCCTCAAGGTATGCCAGGGGAGGTTTAAACTGGATATTAGGAAAAATTTCTTCACCAAAAGGGTGATAGAACAGGCATTGGACCAGGCTGCCCAGGGGAGTCGTGGAATCACCTTCCCTGGAAGTGTTCAAAACCTGTGTAGATGAGGCCCTTAGTGACATGGTTTAGTGGCGGACTTGGCAGTTCTGGGATAAAGGTTGGCCTTGATCATCTTAAAGTTTTTTTCTGACCTTGTTGAGTCTATGATTCTATCATCATGGCAGATCCTGCTGGAAATGATTTTGAGTGCTGTGCCTTAGCAAACTGTATATTAAAAAGGAAGAGAAAAACCTACCTTAAAGACTTCCAGAATGTTTCTGATTTTTCTTTGGTTGCCTAGATTGACATTTCAAGGGTATAACATTTCTGAGAATTGTATGTGACCTTTGGCAAAACAGGTAGCCATATAAATTTTGGGAAGCAGCCACCCCCGTGTGAAAGCAGTCTTTCGTCCTTGTAAGAATAATCATTGACTCCCAAAGTAGACTGCAGACATTTTCAGTGGTTCCTCACCTTACTCAGTTTCACAGGCAAACCTGTACTGATGCCCTAAAGAAGCCATCTTGGAGCAGTCCTTGGGACTGGAGGAATTTTTTGTCTTCTAAATGACTTTTATTATTTAAATGTTTCTTGAAATATTGGAAGTTGGTTGATTCAGCGTGCTGTTTGCTGCTAGCACTGCGTTTGGCTACACAAAGAGTCAGAGCTCAATGTTTTTCTGTGGCTGAAAGGAAACTTTGATTCTTCCTGAATGAAATAACTAGGAACTTGCACAAGCCCCGTGTTGTTGAACGGAAAAGGCAGGCTTTTTCTCCTTCAGATAATCTTTTCTATCTGACTCACAATTTTACATATAGCTCTGGGTCTGTATCTGTGGCATGTTTCTAATTAGCCAATGAAAAAGATAAAGGTTCTGTATTTTAAAATCCACTGATTTTTCATCTGCTAATTGTGTGTGATAGGATGTGCCTCTGGAGAGAGGGATAACAAATTCCCGAGGCAAAGATCTCCATCAAAGGCAGCATATTCTGGTCTCTGAGCAACATGGGCTTTCACTATGGCCATCATCTTTCCATAAGTCTGGGATTCAGGTGCTCTGATGTTGTGTACACAAAACTCTTAGTCTACATTATCATGGCCTGTTTTTTTTCCCAACATTACAGCTTTTCACAGTTTGTCCCAGGGCTGCAAAGGGCAAACCAGTTCGGACCCACCGGCCCATTCCTGATGCCTGGGAATGAGGGTAGCAAAACCGTCCAAATGCACACATAAAGCTTTCAGTGCGGTGCAGCAAGTGTCTCAGTACTGTTGCCTGGTAGTATTTACCTGAAGAGAAGGCTGCATTTTCTCACTTGTGTTCGCAGCCATCCTTGGTGTCTCTCCAGACGTAGCTTACAATGCAGGTTAAAGGATTGTTCATTTGCATAGTCAGTTTGAATAGTTATTTTAGAAGTTCACAAAACCTGACTTCTAAACAATTCTATTTGCACTGAAAAGCTAATAAGCGTTTATGAAGTGGCTGTGTTCAAGGCCAGGTTGGATGGGGTTTGAGCAACCTGGTCTAGTGGAAGGTGTCTCTAACCATGGCAGGGGGTTGGAACTAGATGATCTCTAAGGTCCATTCCAACTCAAAGCATACTATGATTATACTACTATGATTATACTATAAACAAGAGTTACAGAACAGGTAAATGTGACTTTGACCAGGTTTAAGTAATAAAGAGACTTCAAATTCTTCAGTTTGAAGGCTAAATATTGGGAGCCCTGAAGGCTTGAATGTGATCTTTGCTTTTATAAGGAATGCAGTATATAATGATTCACCTTCTTTTTCTTTTTTTTTTTTTTTTTTTTTTAGGTAATGGGAGCTTTGTTAATCGGTCAGACTACATCAATTGTTTTCATTATTTCAGACCACAAGTGCAGAATTCCTGCCTTTGTTCAAAGCGGCATTGTGGGGAAAAATAAAGCTCTCCAGTACCAAACTTCTTGTGCCTACAGCGAATAAGGCTTCCCTACAGGGAATCTGTTGCAGCTCTATCTCCATGGACCAGTGTACATCACTTCTGGAAAACTTACTCAACACTTCAGGCAACTTGTATAGTCTTTGTGAGTCCTGTGCTGCTCTGCTTACAGTGGTAGCAGTAGCACCCAAGTAGCAGGTGCCCTAAGGTAGAGATCAGTCCATGTGTCTGCTCCAAACCAACATGCGGTACAGAGCTCCAGCAGCCCAGACGTGAGAGCGCATGCACATATAGGCAGAAGAAATCACTCAGAGCAACTCCCTGTGCTCAAAACTCTCCTGGAAACTTCCCTTTCATGATGGCTACAGTCCTCCAGCAATGTCTCAGCCTGGAGGTGGTGGCACAGGGAGAGTTCCATGACTCCAGCAGGGTCCCTCCAGTGCCACGGAGCGGCTCTGTGCTTTCTCCCCTGCCCTGGATCATTGGGTTGACCTGCTGTCTTTGCAGCTAGGTTGGGAGCTGAAGAGGTGACCTGCCTTCTGGTCTAGCAAAGCGGTTTGGAGAAGTTTTCTCTCCTCTGGCAGAGTCCACCTGCAAGACCACCACTATCAGCTACCACCTGGTAGTGCAGGAATAATTGTATTTCCTGTATTTGCTTAATGGCAAACTCAGCCAGGACAATTACTAGTCTTGCTCTGCCTGCTTATACAACCAGCTATCATCATACTAAAGAAGAAACTGATCTTTCAGACTCACATGCCTTCACCAGAACTATGTAGGAGCCAGTAAATGAGGTATGCAACTTTGCATCTTTTCTTTGGATTGTATCCAAAATTGCAAGAGGTTTAGTGGTACTTCCAAATATCCAAGGAGGTGGATCGCTTAAATTTATACTTCCTTTTTATATTACAAGTTTTTCTACCAATTTACCTGTATTATATTCATAAAGCAACTGAATTGATCATACACTTGCAAACTGAGGTACAAAGGCATTTTGTGCTTTCAGTCACAGCAAAAGCCAAGTTACATGAAAGCTAAAGCTAAATGTACCTCTTTGATCTTAGTTTTTCTTGTGACTCAGGATATATCCCCACTGCATATTCACTTGAATTTTACACAGCTGTGTTCTAAAAATACCAATCTATGAAAATTAAGTGAAAGATTTTACACGGCTGAGATTGCTGTTTGTTGGGGTTTTGTTTAGTTTTTGTTTCTTTGGGGTGTTTTGGTTTTATTTTGCTTTGTTTTTCAGAAATGCACCAGGAAATGCGTGTTTCTACACTGAAAAACTACCTTTGTATCTCTATCCATTAATATTCTTTATCAGAAGGTGGCAGCTGTTTGTGGTAATTTCTGACTATAGTGTTATTGACTCCTTTTTGAAACAAGAGTTTTGGAAAATTCCTGATTCCACTTTCTTATAAAAGCTTATCAACTAGTCCAAAGAAAGACATCGTGGTAAAGTACAGGCTCATGCGTTAAGCTATACAGTACAGTATCATTTAAATAATGATGGGACTTCAGAGTTCATTGAGGAATGACTGAAATTCTTTTTGTATGTTTGAGCAATTGGTTCAAATGATTAATATGAACAGAAAATGTTTACTAAAAGAAAGTGAACAAAGTGAGAATATAAAATCACAGAATCACAGACTGGTTTGAGTTGGAAGGGATCTTAAAGCTTATCCAGTTCCAGCCCCCTGCCGTGGGCAGTGACACCTTCCACTAGACCAGGTTGTTCAAAGCCCCATCCAGCCTGGCCTTGAACACTGCCAGGGATGAGGCATGATCTTATGATTCTATGAAAATCAAAATCCACTCATCAAGCTACTCCCTGGCTATTGTTTCAGTAAAAAGTAAAGTGCACATAAACCTTTGATTTCATCAAACTGCAGCCTGGCAGCCGAAAATACACCATCCCTGTGTATAATCTTTACAGCATTTTCAAGTAAAACTTTGACCTGGAAGCCTATAGTGGAAGGCTGGCAGTAGCAGCCCCTTGGTCACCGTTAGGGAGGCACAGACAAAGAGCTGGCGATGCTGGCATAGCCACAGCTTCAGTACCGAGCAGAACTCTCAGTTGCAGACCCACCTGGAAAGGAGAGGAAAGGAAATACGCTTCAGTAGCTAACGCTAATGCCAGCTGACATTCCAAGAATATGATGACTTCTTGTCATAGCCTCACAGTCAGAGTTGATTCCCTTAATCAGGTTTAGGGAATGCTATGGTCAAGTTTTCCTGTGTTTTAGTCTAAAAGGAAAGAAGTGTTGCATAACAGCACACACTTGCCTGTCTGTGTATCCATTTGGCTCCCTCACCATTTCTTTTGAAACCATTTGAACTTTCAGCTCTGCTTGATGGAGGAGTGGAAGTATCAAAGAGAAGAAGGTCCCACAAGCCCTGTGAAGACAAGCAGCCAGACTGGGAGAGGAGGACTATGTCTCCCCATCAGTGGGCTTAAATATGAATCCTTCTCATTAGACACCAGCCAATGTAGCTTCCAGACTCCAGCAAGAGAAGCCAGGCTTCAGCAGAGGTGCTGCTCTGAATGCGTCTCCTGCCCTTGGTGGTGTTGGGAAGATGCACATGAACATACTGACTGGATTGGGAAGCAACGAAATCAAATCCACAAAATATCCTGTCAAAAGAAACCTGGTCTAGTGGAAGTTGTCCCTGCCCACAGCAGGGGTTTGGAACTGGATAATTTTTAAGGTCCCTTCCAACCCAAACCGTTCCATGATTCCATGAAAAATAAAATTGAAAAGTTTTCACAAAAAATATTCTTCAGTGGCAGCAGTGTTAATACTGCTGTAAAACCAGCACTTTCAGCTATGGTGTGATTTATACAAAGTTGACAGCCCTCTAAAGTTAGAAAAATTAGAATAACTTCTGCTTTCACATCAACAGGTCTAAAACTTTCAAAACTATTCCAAGTGTATTTAATATGAATTCAGCTCGGTAAGTTGAATGATGCTTTGTTCTAGTTCTGTCTGCACTTACTCTCTGCATTTTTTTTTCACTTGCCACTCTTAAATGAGGGGGACGGATTTTGTTGATCAGCATCACAAACAGATAATATAAAGCACAGACAATACAGACAATAAAAAATGTTGGGAGCTGCTCTCAGCTGTGGAGAAGATTTTCATTAACAAGATGATTTCTTAACTCTTTGTGACTTGAACATTCACCCTTTTTCCTAGTTTGTTCCATGTGTGATTTGATGGTGACTTTTATTGATTACTCAGGCAAACATAAAGAATACTGGTTTGCATAAACTTATTCTGCAGATGTGGACCATTTTCAAACTGCCTAGAAAAGCACCGCTTTCCTTCTTTGCTACACATTTTCTTTGGGAGAGGAACCAGCCCCTTTTCTGCCCTAGTTGGAGCTACAAGAGTGCACCTGCCTGTGTGACTCAGTGGAAAACAAGGAGGTAACTCAGCTACACACAGGGCCGTGTGTTTTACTGCTCAAGAAAGAGGATGGTTGGTACTTCCTGGCATCTCCCAAGGGGGTTTATCCACCAAAATATGCTTACTGCTAAACCACAAGCACTAATGAGGTTTTTCAGATCTGTGGGTTTTGTGCCATCAGTGCTTGTTTCTTTCTGACACTGGTCAATAAAATCTATCTCTCTTGCTTAGGAGCGGTAAGTGGAAAACACTTGAGAATGTAAGTGGAGATGGGTACAAAGCTGGAAGAAAGCAGCATGCAAAGGTTCAACCCACAGGACTGAATTTGCCTTTAATCCACCTGGAAGAGTTTTGCCATCACAGTGGTAACGTGCAGAGCTTTGTGGGTATGGCGGCACCCATCGCTGTCAGCAGGAGGATGCAAACAGTTACACAGCGGGAGGTGCACCCATCACCTCCACCGCCTTACCAGAAATCAGATATAACGCTGAAGCGGAGTGTGGGAATGTGTGTAGGCTTCTTTCCCTCCAATGCACAGAAACTTGGAAGAAGAACGGCGCAGTGGCCGCTGGGGGGAGATGTTACCCAGGGCACCCGGGGAGAATCGGCTCCCTGTGGGTCCGGTACTGAGATCAGAAGTCTCCAGTTTGGGAGAAGTCTCGGGGGGGGGGGTGTTCCAAAGCAGGACTAGTTCAAAACGTGCCTTGCACCACAACAGACAGAGCTGTTGAAAACGATGGGAAATGCCCCCAGACATCTTTCTGTAATTAATTGCTCATGAAAGCTTTTAACGCTTTCAGGCACGCGTGGAGATTAATGAGGCATCAGCTGTGGGGGGAAGGAAAGGAGAGCTTTGAAAGATAATGGTTAGTAAATGGGAAAGCTGCTACTCTGTTATCTCTACATTTCCTGGTGTTAAAAACTGCAGTCTTTGACTATATCTCTAGTTCAGAAATGGTAAGATGAATTCTTCTGTTATGCCAAAATAATAAAGTGGTGGTAGACCCTTTAAGACTGTCAGGAAAAGAAGTGCTAACAATGCAATAAGTAAAGTCTCTTGTAAAGACACTTCTTCTTTCTCTTCTCTTACTGGATTTGAACAGTGATGGAAAGTATCCATTAATCATTATATATCTGGACCAGTTTTCAAGGGGTTTAGAAGTTTAGAATTACATTATGCTGTAATGTAATGTTTGTACTCTGCAAACAGCCCCACTGAGCTGCTTATGAAGTTACTGTTTAGGAGGAGTAAACTTACTCCTCTAGTGCTCTGCTTACAAACTAAAGAACTGAAGGTACTCTAAGATCTAGTCTTCCAGGTGGGAAAGCTGAGGTGACAGTGGTGAGGCACAGGAGCAGGTTGCTCACAGAAGCTGTGGATGCCCCATCCCTGGCAGTGTTCAATGCCAGGTTGGATGGGGCTTTGAGCAACCTGGTCTAGCAGAAGGTGTCTCTGCCCATGGCAGGGGGTTGGAACTGGATGATCTTTAAGGTCCCTTCCAACCCAAATCATTCTGATTTTATGATTCCATGAAATCAGCACCAAGCTGTAAAAGACTGGAACAAGTAGCCTTGGGAAATCAGATACAGTACAGATACACAGCATTT